ACAAAGAGGTTTTTCACTGACCTTCACAACTGAGTGGATGAATCCCTTCCACAGCTCGCGAGCCTCCAGACTGGGCACCTGAGGGACAGAGTGGGGAGGGAGAGCAGATTAACATGCTTGTGAGGCCCTACTGGGTGAGCTGTGTTCCTGATAATGTGGTCCACTCCTGCCCCCACGGTGCAGCAGTCTCGCCTCACCGTCAGTTTAATCTCCCCATCTCTCATGCGCAGGCTGAGCCGCCCAGCCTCCAGGTTCTTGTCTCGGCTGCTGTCGTCTGTCAGAGAGACGAAGCCGCTGAGCTCCAGCTTCTCCACGTACTGCGGACAAACAGGGGCAGACATGTGGAACATGAGGAAGACTCTGCCACAGACCCCTTGTCTTTCCTCCTGACCCTTTTCACAGAGTTAGATAGATAGATACTTGCAGATTTGCAGATTTGTTTAGTATTTTGCTGCCACCAGGTCAGATGATACACAAAATGAGCTGAACTAGTGACTTTGCTGGATGAAGCAGAATCACAAACACCCTGACACAATCCTGGCTGGTTATTGGTGATCACAGGTGTTTCAAAGAAAATCCTTATGTATGCAGTATGCTGAGAATTCAAAGGCCCCCAAAAAGTAACCAGTATAAAATCCACATAAAAAACCTCCATTTACAGCCTGGTTTTCACAGTCTGGTCTGCCTTTATGATTTCTTATTCTTTTGTATTTAAGGTTTGGGTAATTATCCATTTCAGTTTTGTGAAGCTCTTAGCTTATTGAAACCAACCAAGCCAGAGAGGCTAAATGCTCTAGTTTGTTATCTTTCAGTTGGTCTACTGTTTTATTTTATTATTATTAGTAGTAGCAGCAGTAGTATTCCAAAGCTCTCTGCAGTTGGGTACTCACTGTGCTGTCCTTGGAGTTGTTGTAGAAAAAGAGTGTGTCTCCACACAGGCAGGTCCAGAACCGCCGATTTGTCTGCAGAAACAAACAGGGGCCATTAGAGAGAGGGAGAGAGGAGCAGAGCACAAGGCCTGCACGGTGGCTCCCCTCTTTGTGCACTCACCTGGAGCACCCCTCCTTGTGCACCTTCCTCGTGTAACCCTCCTTGTGCACCTTTACTCATTTTCCCTTCCTCGTGTAACCCTCCTTGTGCATCCTTACTCACATTACCTTCCTTGTGCAACCCTCCTTGAGAACACTTCCTCGTGCACATGGATTTTTCCCTGTTGCTTGAGTTTGTCTACACCTCTGAGACGCCTGAAAGCCAGACTGTCTGATTTAAACTGTCTCTTTACCAGTAGGACCAAAGCTTACAAGACTAAAACAGACCCTGAAGATAACTCTGGGTCCTGGTACAAGTATTAAATTCCTCAAAGGCATCGACAAAATCAGCCCAGTGGACCTCTTCTGG